TTGAAGAGGGAGCCTTGATCACAGTGTGTAATGACCTCAGGCAAATGACAAGTGTCTGTCTTCAAAGTCCACCTCTATGTGTATTAGATCATAGCTCGACATGTCACTTTGTTCACTAGATCACACAGCAAGCTTTCTCCCAAGGTAATAATACTGATGGGAGACCCACAGGTGCCACATAACCAGCTAGTTGTTTGGATACAGGGAACATTCTGAGATGTACTGAAAATATCGTTGAGTTCATCAAGGTACAGAATTTTTAGTTATTACACAAAGAATAGATTGGCTGAAGTGCTTAGACCAACTGGATTGTTCTCATTGAAGAGGATAATGAGCTGCTTCTTATGAAGACATGAGGAACACTTGTAGCTCTTACAGTATTGTTTAGAAAATGGCAGCTTCATTTCATTGAATACTCACTTCCCCAGCTCTCCAAGTTCTGACTCACACCCCAAGCATGTGAAATACATGTTTATGTGGAAGGCGGGCTTCAGGGTCCTCTTGTCAGGTCTCTGTTATCAACGGTCAATGTATGCCCCTCTTCACATCCCCTAAAGGGAACACACACGCACACACACACACACACACACACACACACACACACAACCAGAGGGAGAAGTGAGTTGAGAATTTGGGGTATGCACTTCTCAGAAGGCACAGTCGAGTGTCCAAGCAAGCATACATCCGCAGAGAATAATTGCTGGCTGGGAATAACAGAATACCTAGCAAGAAGGGGCTGAGAAAAATCTCTCCTTGCTGGAGGAGTTAAAAACTAGTTTCTCATAGGAAAATGTGGAAGACTGTTGACAAGGGACATGGCAGGAGAAGGAAGATTTGACTTTCTCAGTTTTGCACTGAACTTTTGCTCCCAGCAGGTGGGCTCAGGCTTCCTCCCACCCCCAGCCTTCCTCCCCTGCCGGTGTGCAGTCTGTTAAGTAAACAGAGACTTTACACTGAGAAAGGAACATTTCTCTATTTTGGCTATGAGTTGTTATTTTTAAAGCTTCATCCTCCAAACATTTTCACCTATCCTTGTTTACTTTTTCGCTAGAAAGAAATGTAGAACTTTTTAAAAAATTCAAGTACATGACAAGGAAAACCCATTTCTAATATGGCCTCCCTATGGCTTGATCACTGCCTCATCCCTGTGGCGAGCAGTATAAAGTCTCATCTTTGCAGATATAGTGTTCCCCTGCATCCAGATTCACAAAGTAAAAGGCACACCACACTGATTTCCAGCATATTTCAGGTTTAATGGCCAAGCTCTCCTTTGACAAAGAGTCTCCGTATCAATATATCTATAGCTAATACTGAAATATCAGCCCTACTGCATGCTATGCTCCATCCTAAGCATTTTATGTACTTATGCACTAAATTTCATCTGAACATGTCCTGGCACCTGCCTGAGCACTGACCCGGCTTGAATGGGATATTTATTCCTAGTCTGACCTCAGCTGTGGAGGGCCTTTCCATATACATTGAATGTACGCATTGCCTTGAATCTGTCTTTTTCCTGATGAGTCCTGTTTCCACTTTTGTCTTTAACAATGCCCATGGCTTTCTACTCTGTACCTTGATATCTAGCCCAAGTATTGGTATATTATAGACCCTCAATAAACCTTTTTGAGTCAATTGTAGTGGGCAAGAAACTAAGATAGAAAAAATCTTTATTGTTGAAATTATTATTTTTTGGCTGATAGGCAGTGTGGTTTGACCTAATAGTTTTGAGTGCTAATTCCCTCATTTGGAAAGTGGCGGGGGGCATTATTCTTAGAAGTTAGTTGTAGGAAGTAAATGAATGTGTGAAAGGTAATTTACATATTACAAGTCAGTGAGAAAAAGGTTGCTCCATGAATAGTGTTAAAACTAACTCTTTACCTCAAAAGAATATTAAGCTGAATTCTTATCTCATCTTTTATAACAAAATAAATTCTGAGTCCTCTCTATTTTACTTAAGAGTACGGCATCAATGTTCATCCATTTAGCCACATTGAGGGCATACTCTTAAGAGAAATAAATAGAACACACATGTATAAATACTGAACAGTTTCTCTGGTGTGAGAAACTGAAAGTGTAAAAAAGGAGCCAAATGTATAATAGATAATTTTTTAATTGAGTTTATTGATACATCTTAGGTATACAGTACAGTTACATTCATCATTGGGATCTTGTACCTTTACATGACAGGTCTTGGTTCTCATTTTCCCCCCTTGCCCCAGCCCTCCCTTCACCCCCTCCTCCCCTCCCCATTTACAAACACTTTATTTCCAATTTTTCATTTTCTCCTATTTTTTTCTTTTCCCTTACTACCTTTCCCCTATAGAATAGATAATTTGAAATAGGGAGAAAAGCTCCAAAGAGGAAAGGGAAGTGGGAGAGGTAGAGGAAAGGGAAGTGGGAGAGGTAGAGGAAAGGAAAGAAGAGAAATGAATAAATATGAGAAAAGGAAAAAAATGGAAGCAAAGTCTTTGTAAATAGGGAAAAGTGGAGGGGTTGAAAGGAAGGCACGGGAATGGGGAAAAAAGTAGGAACCAAGTTATATCATGTACAGGTACTAATTCCCAATGATGAACATCATCATATTGTGTACCTAAAATGTACCAATAAACTTAATGAATAATTTTTAAAAATTATAAAAAGAATGTTAGTAAAATAAAACTTTTCTAGCAGAAAAACAATTCTGAGCAATGAATATATTGAACCATACTCTTTAAATTGGTGAATTATGTAGTTTGTTGTTATATTTAAGTACATGTATTTATTCAAAAAATGAATACATTCCCGAAGATCAAAGACTTAAACATAAAAGCACGGAACCTTACTAAAAGGAAACATAAGATATTTTTATATGCTCTTAGAATGGGAAACAACCTTTTCAAGCAAGACATACTGTTCCATAAATGAAAACTGATGAACTCGATCCTGTAATGGTTAAATGTTTTGTAAAAGAAGATATGAGAAACAAAATCGAAGAAACATGCTACAAACCATGAGAACACGTATAACATAAGACTAATTACTATCTTATATAAGGAAATCTTAAGCACCAATACAAATGTGACCAATAACTCAGTAGAAAACTGTAGGTGATGTACAAGAGCAGGCCTTTCAGAGAAAGATCTCATGCCAATATATTCTTCTCCAGACACTAGAGGTGTAGCCTAGCAGTACAGCGTGTGCTTAGGATGTGTGAGACTCTGGGTTCAATTTCCCAGGAACAACAACAGAGGTTCTATCAATAGTACTACCTCTTTCAAAGCATATTTCAACCATCAAAATAAAAAATATGTGTGGCTTCTTATATATACGTTCTATTTCTAGAAATTTATTCTGCAGTTATCTCTACATGTTCAAAGACATAAGCACGAGGGTTGTCATTGAATGAGATGTTTTAACAGCACAATATTCATGGTCAAATATTAACCAAGAAAGAATTAGCTAAATAGGTGATAACTACACACCATATAAAAACATTTTGATCAACAATGGACCACATGTGTAATGCTGTTCCATAATATTATATTGCATAGTGACATTGTGTGGCCTAAGCAAATTTTTTGTTTGTTTGTTTGTTTTGGTTTTTTTGAGACAGGGTCTCACTATCTAGTGGAGACTGACCTGGAATTCACTATGTAGCCCAGGCTGGTCTCAAACTCACAGCAATTCTCCTGCCTCAGCCTCCTGAGTGCACCACCATGCCCAGCTCTAAGTAAATTTTTTGATGTTTACACAGTGACAAAATTATCTAATGATATATTTCTCAGAATGTGTCCCCATCATTAAGTGACAAATGACTATATACCATTTTGTTCAGTGAAAAATGTGCAGTTGTTAAAAACAGTTAATGAAGTACACTAAGATCTATTAATTAATGGTAAAACCAAGTACTAAATAATGTGCTTGTGCTCATGTTTTAAATGTTTACGTATTTCAAATATGTTTACATATAAATAGAGTATTTTAGTACCTTCCTATATTTTAAATTCTTCAAAACATCATTTGCCACACAAATGCATTCCTTTCATATATAGTATCTCCCTTAATTTCTGAAACAACCAAATGATAAGATACTAACATGTGCACTTTAAAATACATGTTATAATCCTTTGAGTTCTCCTTTTTAATAATTGTGAGTACTAAAGTTAAGCCCTTCATATCACAGCTCTGTTATGTAGGAAGGAAGCCTGGATTTCTTCTAACAATTTGCGATGTGAACCTGCATTGTCTTAGCATCAACTCCAAAGTCATGGAGTTGGTTACTCCTTACTACCATTTTCTGTAACACCCGTGAACCAGCCCAGCTATAGTCCATAGATACATTCCTACCTCGGTATTCCACTGTTTTGAAACTCATCAAATTTAGTGCTTAATACAGTTTGGTGTGAAAATTTTGTTCCAGTACCCATCATTCATTTGGTGCATGATGGTGTCAATTACCTCATGACTTGCCGCCCTTTTCATCCAAAACAATTTGTTTGGTATTCTTTGTTTTCGGTACTTACTATATTCTCTGGAACCAATGAATAACGAACACTGAGGTACCATTGTATCCTAATTTTTCCTGTATGTCAAAAGAACTTCAAAACATCATCTAGGACTTGGTGTATTAGTTGGAGCATTTGAAAGCAAAGCCTGTCCCCTTAATCCCCACAGAAGTATAGTCAGCAATCAATGAACATGTGCTAGAAAAATCATTACCTGAATCTTAAATCATTTTGCATTACTTATAGACTGAAGAACTCCGTATTTGTCATAGTAGATTTGGTGACTGAACACTGCATCTCTTCTAAGAATTTGCAATGAGAATGTTTTATTGCTGTGAAGCCTTTTTCTGCCCTGTCTTCTCAGATTCAAATGAAAGTTCATGCACTCATGAAGAGAATGGGCTGGAGATTTTTGTCACTTACAGACATGGAGCTGGTAGATTTTTGTGAATGTGTTCCTTATGCTTCATAGAAGCTTTTCTGTCTTTTAATTCTTTTTAAACTTTGTTTTCCTAGGAATCAAGGTAAATGTGTAGAGGGTATGGTGGAGATCTTTGACATGTTGCTGGCGACATCAACTCGGTTCCGTATGATGAATCTGCAGGGAGAGGAGTTTGTGTGCCTCAAATCTATCATTTTGCTTAATTCTGGTGAGTTGGTAACATGAGAGAACTTAATGCTGGGTCAATTTTCAACCAGATATAGTCTCTCCTCTACAAAGGTATTATGTCATAAATTAAAAGAAATTACTCACACACTTAAAATAACCTAAGGAATCATTGTAGATTACTTAGAAAGAGAATCATGTTGGTCAAATATGATGAATGAATAATGATACTGGACATTGATTCTAAGCATTTTTCATGGAATATTGGCATCTTTTCCTAGACAGAGGATTTTTAAAAATTTAAAATGGTTCATGTATGTAGGCATATATCCATTGATAGTTGTTTGGGTAGAGTAAGTGACCCTATTATGAAATTATGACATGGGGTCTGAGGATGTGGCTCAGTGGTAGAGAGCTTGTATTTAGCATGTGCAAGGCTCTGGATTCAACCTCTAGAAAAAATAACCATGACCAAATTAAAGCTTCAGATAATAATTATTTGAGATGGCCCATATTTCTGGTTAAAGTTGATTAGCTAAAAATATAGTTGGCTTAAAGTTTCAAAGAAAGAAAAAAATTTGTCCCCAAACGGAGGAACATAGAATGTGGTAGATCGGTGCATCAGAAGGAGCATTTTTCACTTAGTCTTTGGGCAGTAATCCTGCTGTTCCCACCTATTTATTCATTTGAGAAAGCTTAGTTAAGAGCAGCATCTCCTTCGTTTTGCTTCTCTGTTGTTTTCTGTAGTGAGGTTGGCTGTTGTGTAAAGAGTCACCGCAGGTCACCCAGATGGAAACCATGGCTCAGACTGAGTCTGCACCCTCATTCCTCCTTGTCCCGTCCGCATGAGGATCCAAGAGGTAGCTCTGCAGCCCAAGCAACCTGAAGCTCACCAGGGGGTGTCAGCTGTACCACAGATGCCTTTAGTGGGGACTGCTACCTCCAGCCCCACTCTGTGCCTCAAATATCATTCTTTATGGAAATTCCAGCTCTTTGGAGCTTTGGACCTGCTGTAGCTCTTACATCATTATCTCTAGTCTCAAATTTCTCAGCTGCAGAACTACAGCTTGCTTGGTCACATCCATAGAGAATCAACACTTCCTTATCTTTCCAAATATTTTTGTCTGCTCCCGATGAATGCCAATTTCTTCCTATCTCCCTGAATAATTTTCCACTTCTCTTCCACAACAGGGTTAGTAACCCACATTGTTTGATGGCTATCACTCTAATCATTCTCACTTAGCCGAAAAATGGAAATCAGTACTATTGCACTAGGAAAGGACTGAATTACAGAATGAAGTTCCAAGGAAAATAATGTGATCTGCGCGGAGGAAGTGATTACCACTCATTCAAGTTTCAGGTTCCACTCACATGCATTGTGCTTTTCATTTGAGGCATTTGTCCTGTACGTTGAAGGGTCCAACTCCCACAATGGCTCTTTATTGGATGAGAGTTCTGGGAGCAGTGCCACTCGGTGCATGCTGCCAGGTCCTGATCCTGTTCCTTCTTTGGTGGAGGGCCGGCACATGTGACAGCGTTCATGTGGGCAATCTCTTAACTCAGTGGAAAGTAGGCTGCACTTGGGATTTTCCCCCTACTTTAACCAAGAAAGACTACCCCAGACAGGAAGTGAAGTTATTCAGAGTTGTAGAATCAACACAAACACATGCATTGATCTTGTTAATGAACACTATTTCCTTTACAAAAATATAGCCTTCCCCTGCATTTTTTGATTTCTGTTCCTATGACAGTTGTTAGTTTATTATTATTACTTTAAATATTGCACAAAACAGTCAGAAATTTAACCTTCAAAACATTAGCTTTATAGATCTAGGCTTTTTATAACGGGAGTGTGGGGGTTGACTTTCAGCCTTCATCAGAGAGTCTTTTATTGGAAATTGGCTCCAGAACCTCAAGACTGGGCTTCCCACTGTGGGATGTGGCCCCCTTCTGGCTCCTTGTGACATCAGTTGAAACTTTATACTGTGTCCTCCTTGATTTGTTCCACCTTTCTCCAGCTCTCTTGCGTGCTTGCTCACTCTTGACGGGTTGGAATCTTATTTTGGAAAGATGAGGCACTGTATAGGGACATAGCTAGCAGTTATCTTTTTCATGAGATAACAGGGCAGCAGCTTATCTTTTCTATCAAGGATGGTGCTGCTGGCTCTGGAGAGCAGCAACACCTGAACAGAAGCACTCTTTCAACCCCAGCAAAGGCAAACCGTTCTTCTCACCATAAAACTGTGCTCAGGAAAAGCAGACCCTCTTCTGCGTCCAGCTCCTAGTGTGTCTGATTGTCCCCGTTGCAGCAAAATCAAAGTGGACAAGACTCTAAAACACAAAAGGATGGTATTGGTAGCCTGTTTCTAAGAATACAAGCAATCATCATAAGAAGGTTACCAGAACCAACAATGTTTTCCCTGATAGAGGCACAGATTTTTCTGAAAACCTAAACTGTATGATTTCCATCTAGGGCAACTCTTCACCTGTCAGAAAAATAAAAAAGCGACTGACTCTAGGTATCTCTAACAGAAGCCACACTAAAAATGATTCAGGTAATCTGAGTTAGAAGACACCTTCCTATACCTTAGTAGCAAAACCTCAGAACAGAGAAACCTCTGGACAGAGAAACCTCAGGTTTTGTGCTAAATTCCTTGTCACCAAAGTATGAGAAGGCCGTGTCCATTTTGGCCCTGATTTGGGGCAGAAGTAGAAGGAAAATTAAAAGATTGTAGTGAGGACCTGCTAGAAATTTTGTTTTGAAAGTTCTAAAAGGGCCTCCCAAGGGCCAGAATTTTCATGGGATACTCCCTTTCTAGTTGTGTGCATGATTTCTCCTTTATTCAGAATAATTTATTGCATTACTTCCAAAAGCCTAGAATTTAAGACAAACACTACTGTTTTATGATAAAGGACAGAGGTGTTCCTAGATAACCCAAAGCTGCCTCTCCAAGGTCAATGGTAGCTTCAAGACATTGTGAGAACTAGCTGGACAGGGCTCAAGAGGAGGGTGAACAAGATCAGAGCAGTTGAACTCAGGGCAAAGGCTGGGAAGAAACAGCAGCAAGAAGAAGGAAGGGACATTGTAGAAGGAGGCTGAGAAGGTGGCTCTGTGCCTGCCTGTGGTCATGTGACTTTGATTCTGCCTGATAATCGTTCAGCCCCTTCTACTTCCCCTAGGAGAACTCAGATCTCAGCTCATTGGGGAAGTCTTGCTACTACCCAAGTCCATTTGCATCTATTTCTCTAGACTGTTTGAGTTCTTAGTACCACACAATCTAGCACTTGAGTAGTTTGATGATTTCAATCATTTATATGGTAATTTAACATTTATTGAGTTCCTCCTTTGGAACTTTGTGCCTCATAGTCCAAAATGAATGTCATAGTTTTGTGAGTTTTTTCCCCCCAGCGTTTTTCTTTAACCTGATCATTTTCTCATTCTTTACACAAGTATTTCTTAATTTCCCTTGAGCTATTTACACTTTTTCAAAAACTTCTTTGTCTTTAGGCTGTGGGATTTAATAAATGTTGCATTATTCAGTGATTTAGTAAATGGTTATTGGTTAAACATGGCCAATATGACCTGGAAAGTCCTCTTTTTCCCCAAGCTGTTCTTCCCATTCTGAAATACATCATGCTTTTCAGTGAACTATAGCTCTAGAAAATATTAAACCATTCAATGGAAAAATTAATGCTCATCCTCCTGGATTATCATAAACAAAGGAGAATGATGTAGAGAGTGTCTGATGTAGTTTATGGATCATAATAGTCATCAATCAGCAATAGGCATTATCAACAAGGATGAGAATCTGGCAGAAACTGAGTGGATTCATCTTTTTAACACAGCACTTTAAAGGCTTCCAACTAGGCTTTAAAAAGGCAGGGATTAAAGGGTAGTGATAGAACATTAAAGGGTAGTAACTGTGACCATTACCCCTCAGATGGTCAATTGTGCTGTTTAATTATATTTAGCAAAAGGTTAGAATAAGGCTGAACTCAGGAGTAATAGCTGATTGTGATTTGAACCTTAATATAGTAAGACACTGAGGAAAACTGCAGTAAATCAGTGCAGAATAACCATGATTCTTCTGCCATTTGATCCTCTATCTTCTTACCTTCATCACCACCCAGAATACACTCCCAATCAGGATACTACCCCTTTCATGAGTGTTTCAAGACTCAGAAAAAATTTATGTATCAAATCCTTATATGTATAAATCTATAATGAGTGTTTGGTATGGCCTTCAATTCAATTTAATAATCACTTCTACCCTCCTCTAAACACGTTTTTGACCAAAAGTATTTAATTCTGAAGAGTTTTACGTGCTTCACTTTCTTTTAACTATACACTATTTCCCCGGACAAGGGATCACTCTGATTCCAGGCCTTTTCTGTGTTATTTCACTATAGGTCCTTTTCCTTCTGACCCACAGCCTACTTCAGCTACACAGAAATCTGTGTGCCTGCCTGCTCTCTGAACCACCATTAGTAGGAGGAGCACTTGATACTCCTGCAATGTCTTGTGCTATTGACATTTGGTAGCTTTGATTACCAAAACCCATCCAAACTGATGCTCAGACAACATTTCCCTTTCAACTGATAGAATAATAAAGATGAAGCAGAGCTAAAATCCACATATACTTAAAAACCCAAGGACAAAAGTAGGGGAAATAGGACACTAGAAAGAACCGTGGCCCAATCTTAAAATTGTGTACCCTGGTGCTTATTTGGTGAATCAAAGGGATGTTGACTATTTTAGACATAAGTGTAAAACAGTGCCAACTATTGTCTGTAATCTATCTAGTTCTGTTCTGTCAGTGTGCTGTCTCCTGTAATCATCATTCTGGCATGAAAAACACATGATGCTAGATCTGATGAATCCTGTTCACTATTTCTGTGTTTATCAAAGGCAACATGTTGGTCAACGAAGCATTTATTTCATGATTAATTATAACAAGCTCTCACTGCAAAGAATATGTCTTCTTTCTTGAGTTGGATTATTTGTATTGTTAGACAATTATGCAGAGCATTCGTATTCCTAAG